AGAAACATTAAAAATATTTGTATCCAGACAATACAAATCACAGATGGTGACCACTGCATGTTCCTTTTAAAAAAAAAATGGACGTATAATGGTGGCAGTGAAGGTCATACGAACAGTATCATGAGTGCAATTAACCAGTTAGTATACAATAAGTATTAGAAAGAGGCCCTCGACACTTTTTAAGAGCAACAACTTTACATATTTGATAATTATCTCGTAAGTGTTTCTTTTTACTTCTTTCTATGGTTGTGATGGCACACTTAATGTATGTACTAGTAATTTCGAAATCAACATCTAGTTTTTGATATACTTGTACATTCATTGTTAAAACAAAAATTCTCGTTTTTACACTTTAGTTTATAAATACAACCACTCACACGATATATTAAAGTCCAGACATTTTGAAATCATTTTTTTTTTAAATTTTCAACTACAACCGAACTTATGATAATATATCCTAAGATATTTCCGGCTAATCTTTACCTATGGTGCCAGGGGCCCATTGGATCGGATAAATTATATCATAGATATATATGTATACGTATGTAATATATATATATATATATATATATATATATATATATATATATATATATATATATATATATATATATATATATATATATATATATATATATATATATATATATATATATATATATATATAAAGACATAGAGATATATAGATTAAACATATATAGAATATGAATCGGAAAGATGCATTACCTTATAAATATAAAAAATATGCAAATATTTGTTTTTGTATGAAAAGATAAAAAAAAAATACATAATAATTAAGCCTCGCTGCCACTGGGTACATCTTCCACCTCATAGAATCCATAATAATTACAATTTTGTAATCATATTAATGTACCATCATATACCTGTATTTCCAAATTTCCAGATTTACCTAATACGCCTACTTTCTCATTGGTTTGCAAAATCATATTTAAAATACATTTTGATTTTACACATTTTACACACAGCTTTGAATTTGATATTGCAAAATGTTGGAGTTTCTGATTGACATTTGGAGATCAGATCTACTTCATTCATATGTAGATTCGATATTTAAGGAATGACTCTAATTCTTGGCCAAATTATCGAGTATATTAAATATGGTTTGGGTCAGTTTACGCTTTATAATCCGGATTATAAAAAAGCGTAAACTCACCCAAACCATATTATACTCGATAATTTGGCCAAGAATTAGAGTCATTCCTTATAATTTAATTTTAAAATATCATTCAACTGGGGATGTAAAATTGTGTTGTTTTTATGAGTTCAAATTTACCGCGCAATAATACAACCGTAGTAACGGAAGTGATGGGAAGCGAGGGGAGGTAAAAACTGATTCATAGATCTAGCAGTCATGATGCTTGTTTACATGAGGTAAGATCGAGTAACTGTTCGAAATTAAAGGTACATTCATTAAATCTGGAATTTTCCATGAATCCCAAGGACTGGAAATGAGGGGATTGATGGATACAGATGATTATGCTGGTTGTCAAGGGGGTGTGTCCCCATACCAAACCAGATTATACAAAATGTTATGCGTTCGTTTTTGGAAATCAACCAATGAGAGGCAAGAATACAAGCAAAATTAAATTATATCGGAATTAATATGAATTAAAAAAAAATACAAGTCTAAAGCATCTGTATCATAATTGAATACTTTGCTAGAAAAGACGTTAATGAGTAATACTTTGTGATAAAATTGTTGACTTAAAGTGTTCTATCAGCAATTTTCCACACATACATTGTATGTAGGAAAAAGCAATTTCACTTGCAAATGGAATTTAAATATCCTAGTTGATTCGAAATGCAAAGGTACGTATGAACACTTTCTAGTACGAAGCAAGCTTTAGTCAAACAAGTTGATGGAACAGTTTCGTTTGTAGTAATCATTTTGCAATTTGATGGTTGATACAAATTTCTTATCAACAAATTTATCTACCATTAGTCGCCCGCTTGGTGCAGTGGTTAGAATCTGTTATAAAGTCGCTAAGTAAGGTGTTGATCCTTACCTAACGGGTTTGAATCCTACTGTGGGACATGGAGACCGGTCCCTCGGATGAAACCGTGAAAACTGAGGTCCCCTGTCGCAGTCGATGTTGGCAAGGTTTCCCAAGGTTCAATTGCGCCTGCTACCTCTCGGCAGGGGATGTCAACTTTTCCGTTTTGCTTGTTCCCAACTCTGATGTTTTTTTAAGAGAGCCATATTTGGATATTTGAGATTGATTACATTTTGCTTTCTTTAAATTCACTTTAATGCTTATAGGTAGATTGAGCAAGTGCGTAGGAGTGAGTTTATATGGACTAATTTTGTGCTAATTTTTAAATTCTTTTTCAATTTTTTTTCCACGATGCCTGAGTGAAAATGCTAAATATTTGGTGTAAACTGGTAGCCTTGTCCCGATTATTTTTATTTGTAGACCCTTACTGCACTCTCAATGAGCGCAATTGCAGATGACCTATCGGGATACCTAATTGAATGGCTACTGAATGATTTGACACTTTTAGGAAAGATCCCTTGCAAATCCCACAGACCTAGTCTGAGGTCTAGGTTGCCTTGGACTAAAAAAATAGCATTGGCTGGCATTTTGCACAAAATTGGTGCGGAGCATTAACCAAATTTTGATTTGCTGTGGACTGGGGCTGGCTCAATGTATGAAAGGATAAAGTTGTTGCTTTAGAAGAAACAATGCATTTATGTATTCGCTGACATTTGGCTCTATAATTATAGTCAAAATATTTGCAACTTGGTGTTTACTTTTTGTTTGGCTACTGAAGTTTGATTCATGTAAGCCTTGCCGAGCTCATCATCAATAACCCAAATTGTTTGACGGTTTCATGGCCATTCTCAAACGATGCTGTTAATCATACGTAACCTTCGCAATTGGCTTTTCTGCTCCAAAGCGTATGAAATGCATGTATGTATTTCAGCGAATGCTGTATACCTGGGGTATAACTTGGATCACGCTTCTAAAGTAATGCTTGAAAAATTAGAAAAGCGTCAATCCAATGGACTTTATTAGAAAAAAGAAAGAGGGCGTATAAGGCGTGGACAATCCCTCGGGCTATGAGACAAAATGTTTCTCAATTTTCAAAATGCACAGAAAAGTTATATTTTGTCTAAAATCAAGTTTTCATTAATGTCATCTTCAAAACATTTTATCATTTTATTTTACTGAACGACTTATTATTTGATAATTTTTATTTAAAAATTGACACATAAGCATATTTAGTGGAAAATGGGTTTACAAGAGCTATAAACATTAATTTTAAACATGAAGGGGTCAAGTCTCGATTCTTCGTTAACGCTAAAATGATGGAAACGTAAATGTGAAATCTATTTCATTTGTCCAAAAAATGGAATCTAAATTTCTACATGAAAATCGAAAATTTCTGAAAAAATGTACGCTTCAACCAACCCGTTCATTTAAATCACACAGACAGACGTTGATAATGCATATAATTCGTAGCGTAGTGATTAAAGCGATTGGACTTAGACGAAACCCTGCGCTATCAGGCACGTAGCAACAGGGGGGGGGGGGGGGCGGGGGGGCCTTCCCCCACTTTTTTCCTCAACATTACCTTTACATGTCCATTGAAAGGAAGGTTGCCCCCCCCCCCTTTTTACCACAGTATATATAAAGGAAGGAGATATAGGAAATAATTTGGAAGTGAAAGGAAGTTGGCCTTTTAAAAAGTTGGCTACTACCCCCCCCCCCCACGAAATAGGTACTTTAGGTAAGTAAAAAAAAATTCTTAGGTTCCCCCCCCCCCACTTTCAAAAACGATGCTACGTGCCTGACTATTGAGAGAGTTAAAAACATGAGTGAAAAAATATATTATTAATAAAATATTAAAACAATGAAATACAGAATTATATGTGTAAAAGCTAATATAAACAATATCATTTTGAAAAATGTAACTTTTAGAATTGAAAAATGTCTTTTCTCAGTGCGGGGGATTGTCCTCACCTTGTACGCCTCCATTCTTTGAACGTTGGCCTATCACCGTTGTGCTAAAAGCTGGTCCTATATATCCCATGATAAAGTAGATGGCTGTGTTTTAGTTGTTCTAACTAAAAAAGGGACCCAAGATTGATATATTCCCCATTAGCTTTTTTTTTTTTCTTCGTAGCTTAGTCAACAAGATAACTCGGTGAAAGTTGGCTAGTATTTTTCATAATGAATTGGTTAGACCGGATCAACAAGTGCTATAGACACCTGTGTCAACTGGTCCATCAATATTATTGACTTTGTGTATTTTGTGACCTTTGAGTAACTGTAACTGCAGCTGCAACCAGGACTTTGACAATTGGAACAAATATTGGGTCCGCAGTTGATCTGAGTAACTTGTGGAATATTAAAATATGGGGAGATATTGCTCCAATATGCGGTATTCTTTACAATAATAACATCCCCTATTTAAAAATATGAATATCTGTATGAATATACACATTTAATTCTAGAGGTATGGAATAGAAACATACTGGTTATTGATGATGTATCTTTTCTAAAGTTTAATCCTCCAGGATCAGTCACTGTCGAAATTCACTTATAAATGTACAATATATCGGTATATATAAATGTTGAATTTCAATAGTACTCTATATTTAACTTTGCAGCTAATGCACTTTTGTACACATTTATAAACCACTTAATTTCTTCACTAAATTAAATTAGTTCACTAAATTAAATTAGGACAAGCGATAATAATATGTACTCCCCATGTGATGAATAATTGCTACTTTGTCTTTAGTTAACAATATAAAAAATTTCAAAGCCATGTCAAGTCTGATAAAACTTCATAGCTCTTTGAATTCAGTTCACATTCTTTTTCTAATATTCTTAAATACACGTTTGATGAATTCAATTAGGGCAATTCAGAATTTATGTTTTCCTCTTATGACGAAATATTGCTACAGTACTAGTAAGTATGCTTTACAAATTAAAGCACCTTTAATTCAGGAATTGCAAAAAAACTTTCTCTTAGTTCTTTGAATTCAGTTCATGTTCACTTTCCTTTTGTAATTGGTATTGGTTTTCCAAATAATCGTTTGCAAATAGGAGGACCTGGTTTAATGCACTGAGTGCTAAAATGTTCATGTTCATCTGCAGATGTAGTTCCTTTTCGTAGTTCTTTACAGGGAACACATGATTTCTTGGCACCTTCATAATTGCTGCAGCTTGATTAACTACCATCTCAATTTTTTCGCTTACAAAGGCATTGCTGGCATCATGATCGACCAATTCACACAGGAGGTCTATTTTTGTCAGGATTATTAAATGCGGTATACCTAGATAAAGATTTTAAACAATTAAAATATATAAAATGCAATGTACATATACATTGTATTAATTTACGATGTGACGTGATTGGCATTCCTAGACATATCTTACTTCTTCTGTCTTCATTGTTGCACTGAAATTTTTTCAAAGCATTATTTAAAATATCTATTTATAACAAGGAAATATGAAAATAATAAAAAAAAAAGAAATCTATTCCAAGAGTATTAAAACAATACAAATCATCAAAGAAGAGTTGATAGGCTATAAGTGTCAGGATGTTAATTTATGACTTTATTATACCCCTGTCAGCCACATTTTCCTTGATCTGCTGGAGTTTGTCAGTAATTCCTTTTGTTATGGATCCTATGTTGCTTGCATCAATGACGAAACAAACCACATGAGTTCTTTCTTGCAAGGTTGGATTTTTAACAAACCCCTTTACATGCTCTGACGCAAAAGAATTTAAATTAAACTGGAAAAGAACAGAAGCAATTTTTATGTGCGGAATTAAAAAAAAATTAATGCACTGTTTAATGTAGTTAACAAGAGTTGACAAAAGTGTAAGTTATCTGTAATCACTAGGGATGGCAATTTATTATCGTTTAATCGATTACTCGGTCGAAACGTCGACAATCGGTTATGCCTAGGTCACATTTCCCGGCCGATAGCCGTAAACCGGTGGTAATCAGTGGTAATCCGTGGTGTTAGCGATGCACTAACATCGGTCCACATCGGCCTAGTAGTCCTTAAAGTATCAGTTACATTATCCAGCGATGGGTATACGATGGGCAACCAATGCGTTTTATGATAAAAATGGCGTGGTTGCCGGCCGAACGTACAAAGGCCCAGCGATGCATTGCTAATCAAAAAACGATGTTCCAGGATAATCGGCCGATGTATATGACATCGCTCATACATTGGTGAACATCGTTCGTACATCGGTCGACTACCGGCCAATGTTTGGTCGAACATCGACCGGTGATCGGCAGTTATCTGTTGAACACCACTCAACCCCCTTATTAACCTCTGATTCAACGGATATTGGACGATGCATGCTCGGCCATACATCGGCCGATCCTTGAAAGATGTGTTAATGATGGGTTACCGATGAGGATCGATGTGAGGCATCGTGGAGACATCGCTGAATTTAAACTACGAATTATTTCCTACCGATGTCCCCACCGATTTGCAAAATGGCCTCAGTCACCGTCCGATCACTAGTGGTGCCCGGGCGGCAACCATGCCATTTTCATAAAAAAAACGCATCGGTTTCTCATCGTAAACCCCATTGCTGGATAATGTGACTGATACTTTAGTCGGAAGAATTGTTTTGTATTTCTTTAATGATTATCAAATCACCACTGGGAACTGTGAATTAGTATGTTTGTTTGTTGTTTTTTAGCTCACCTGAGCCGAAGGCTCAAGTGAGCTTTTCTGATCACATTGTGTCCGTCGTCCGTCCGTCCGTCCGTCCGTCTGTCAGTCCGTCCGTCTGTCCGTCCGTAAACTTTTCACATTTTCGACTTCTTCTCAAGAACCACTGGGCCAATTTTGACCAAACTTGATACAAAGCATCCTTGGGTAAAGGGGAATTTAAATTGTTAAAATGAAGGGACATATCCCCTCGCAAGGGGAGATAATCAAGAAAAGACAAAAATAGGGTGGGTTCATTAAAAAATCTTCTTCTCAAGAACCACTGGGCCAGAAAAGCTGAAACTTATGTGGAAGCATGCTAGGGTAGTGTAGATTCTAAATTGTTCAAATCATGACCCCCGGGGATTGGGCGGGGCCACAATGGGGAATCCAAGTTTTACATATAAATATATAGGAAAAATCTTTAAAAATCTTCTTCTCAAGAACCACTGGGCCAGAAAAGCTTAAACTTATGTGGAAGCATCCTGGGGTAGTGTAGATTCTAAATTGTACAAATCATGACCCCCGGGGATTGGGCGGGGCCACAATGGGGAATCCAAGTTTTACATAGAAATATATAGGAAAAATCTGTAAAAATCTTCTTCTCAAAAACTACAGGGCCAGAAAAGCTTAAACTTATGTGGAAGCATCCTGGAGTAGTGTAGATTCTAAATTGTATAAATCATGACCCCCGGGGATTGGGCGGGGCCACAATGGGGAATCCAAGTTTTACATAGAAATATATAGGAAAAATCTTTAAAAATCTTCTCAAGAACCAACTGGGTCAGAAAAGCTGAAGCTTATGTGGAAGCACTCTGGGGTAGTGTGGATTCTAAATTGTTCAAATCATCCCGGGGGGGGGGGGGGGGTTGTTGGGGCAGGGCCACTATGGGGAATCAAAGTTTTACATAGAAATATATTGGACAATCTTTGAAATGCTGAAACTTATGTGGAAGCATCCTTGGTCAGTGTTGATTTCAAATTGTCAAAATTATGATCAGGGGATAGGGTGGGGTCACAATATGTATTACAAGGGGGAAATCTAGTAAAGAACAGAATGGTCAAAGCTTCTCAGGTGAGCGATGTGGCCCATGGGCCTCTTGTTTTTTGCAGTTATCTATCGAATAAAATACTAAACAAACTTTGTAAATAAACATGATAAAGTCATGTACTACACCTAGTTTTAATCAATATGGCGATAACGCTGAATGAATGTTCATGTAGTTGAAATTAATATTCTTTGAAAAAACATCTTCATTGATATCTTAGACATTATTCGCGGTTTTCTTAAAATGTTCCAGTCTATATTGTAACATAAATAAAATATATAATCAAGTGGGTTTTTAAAAGAAATAATCATTTCGTAATCGTAAATATAATCGTAAATATAATTAGTCATTTTCTAGATTATTTTTATCAGTCTCCTTGTATAATTATATGATAGAGCTTAATAAAAAAAAAACAGCATTGCATATCAAGAAAATGTGTGTTTTGATACGGTTCGGTTACATGTAACCGTTTCATCGGTCGGAACGTCGGAATAACCGATTAGCAATTTTGTAATCAATTGCCATTCCTAGTAATCACTGACATAATTATCTACCTAGTTTAAATTTTCAGACCAGCTTGAAAAATTTAAAATTCTGTCTTTTTCATTTACATATTTGAAATCAAATGATTTTGGATTTTTGTTTATGAAGAGCATAAATTACAGTATACTGATTTGGTAAATTTCCATCCAGCATGTATCCTAAATCTTTGTCATTCATCCATTTACTCGAAAGTGTTTGGTTTGTATCTATTCCCAATGTATCACAAATCTTGAACTTTAAATTTTTCTTTTCAGCAGAATCCCGGATTATGTATCTCATAAACTGCAAGTTAAAGGGATGTATGTATTTCAAAGCTAGATCAAGCAATCAAGCAGAAGACTGCCTGCAATTTTTAACACAACTTATAGAGTAGCCTTTAATATGGGTTTCAGTACTGAAGTGAATAACACACAACTTTTTTCTAAGCAAAAACATTGTTTTTTTTTCTTTAAATATATAAATATTATATTCTTCATTAATTCTTAAAAGATCTAGTTCTATGAAGAAAATTGGACACACCAGCAATGAAACTAAGACATTTGAATAACTATATAATATGTTTTCAAATCGATGTAGATGTACCTGGTAGTCATGACAACTAGAAAGTCAAACAGGAAAGTACATATATTTTAATAAACTTAAAATAATACAGAAAAATACTGGCATAAAAACGAAATTTTCGTATACGGGATATCAAATACTAAAATAATGAAAAAGGTATAATACGAAAATATTGAAAAAAGTATTGTATTATGTATTAAGTAATTTATATCATCCAACCTAATTGTCTTTTATTCATTGGCCTCACTAAAATTGTTGGAAAGTAGAAGGTTCATAACACGAGGATAACACCTTTTAAATAAAATCCAGCACATAAAGTGAAAAAATAATTAACAGAGTTGTTTTTCTAGCATGAAAAATGTGCTTTTCCTTCAATATCAAATCAATCTTTTGTTTTAATCCGTCTCAGCAAATGTACGAGATATGATCAAAAAATTCACAAACTAATTGAATCACTTCCAAAAAAAGAAACAATATTAAATTTTGGTTTCATTGTTGAATATATTTTAAATCACTCCTCTACAATTGTAATGCACGTCTGCCACCGTTCTGCTCATGCGCGAATTACGTTATATAGGCGGTCACATGACCCTCCGTAGCGTTCTGTCACAAAAGCTGAACAATTTTCTGACTTTTATATTTCTTTCTATGTGAGTTAATTTTTATAACAAGAACGGTTCATTTGTCAGAAATGATCAAATATCGGCAACAGATCTAGAATAGGTGGATAAGAATTTCCTTTCCAAAAATAAGCATAGCGACCATTTTCTGTCTTGGGAGAGACTTTTATTCAAGGTGGATACAGAATGTTCCCCTCTTTTTTATCGTATCTAATATGTTTATAATCTAAAGTAAACGGTTTCTTAGGTATTTGATAAGTATATTATTATTTTGATATATTTAACTATTTTTCACAGTGTAAATTGGAGGTCTTCGATAGCAAATTGCCTATTAGAATAAAAAAACACATCTCTTTTCAAATTTGCTTTCACTGGGCAACAAAACAAGTATCATTTTTAACCATCTGCTTTCCTTCACTAAAACGACCAATCTAATCATTGATTGAATTTATAGGAGGTCAGTTATCTTATTAATCTGTGTACAAATTATTATACCTAATCTAAAAAGAGATTTCGAGGATGTACAAAAGATTTTACATCGTTTTTTTAACGATCGCGAGTACAAGTGAAAAAAACATTTTTCGTCACAAATTACCTACATGTACATAGTGACGCCATTTTCAAATTGTGACGTCACATTCAAGGGGCAAAACTTTATTAAGCATATGATATTTATAGAACCTGTGTATGGCTATGTGTGTATCAATTTTTTTTTACTAATCGAAAATGTGGTTTTGAAGATACAGAGATAGTTCATGAACTTTTTGATCACCCCTCGTATGCATTTTTGATCTCTTAACGAGGCCCGATCTAGTTGATCTGCGCATACGTTTTAACGCAGCGTCGACTCAGGCACGTCACAATACCCTTGACTGCCGTCACAATTAAACACAATAACATCACAGTTAAAATGACGTCAAATTGCGCTAAAATGTTTTGCTGATCTTGCTTACCTGGTAGCTCTATAGACTATGCATTGAAAGCTGGCAATTCTATTTTATTTTTTTAAACATTTAAATTAATAAACAACTTTGGAACCTAATTAATTTCGAGGGTTCAATTTTTTAGTACAGATTCATTAATTTTATCCTGTTTTAGTTCAATTTGTGAGTTTAAAAACACAAACACTGCAACTAAAAGTAATCGATTTTAGTTTTTCTCTTTGAACATGTTGAAATGTTTATGCACACTCTTTTTATTGCGGAATTAAATATGCCATATAACATGGATTATCTTCAGTTTTAAAAAATAAAATAAGTCTATAAATCATTTAAATTGAACCCCCGAAATATTTTATTTTTCTATATAGTACATGATATTAGTAAAAATTTTGTCGCCTTTACACCCCCTTCCCCTTCCTCCCTCTACCCCTTTTTTCCACGTAAAACAACGTCGCGTGTTAAGAGAAAAATAAACCATGGCGAGAAAATTATTTCATAATGTAAGAATTATTTATTTTTTAGAAACTAATACATTATTGCAATCGTTTGTTTGCGTTATGTAAACCTATTGCGACCTATAAAATACGTAGTTGGATAGAATAAACCAAAATTTTGTGTTTTAACATGCCCCCTTTTCACTGCAATAAAGGCTACCTCCAATTTTCTTTTCATCTTTTAAAAGAAGAATGAAAATTGCATGATATATGTGAAAAACAAAGAATTTCATCATGTATTTTTTGTTAAATTTGTAAATTTCTTTGTTTATTGAAGAGTTTTACTATGTAATTATGTATAAAAACACGAAAAATGCTCCATATCTTGACAGTGCCCCCATTTCACTACAATAAAGGCAAGGTAACAAAATTTCATTCTAATTTTTCTAAGCATAAAACATACAAGTATATTTCCAAGAATTCAAATTTTTTATCATTCCGTTTTCGTAATTTTCAACTAGATCGGGCCTCGTTAAAAAGGTAAAAATGAAATGGTCTTGTATTATTGAGTTGTTTCAAGTTAACCCCTATAGAATTGTACATTTAGCATTTTTAGATAATTCTGTTTAATGAAAGAACGAGAAAAATTCCTTTTTTACTTTTTTAGATAGACTTACATTTTTTGTCAAACTTTGATTATTAAATCTACTTCCTGTGCATGCCCTGGAGGAAATTTTTCCTTTGAAGATAGTGTTAATAGTGTTGACAAAGCTTGATTTTCCGGAGCCGCTCTGTCCAATGAGCAAAATGTTTGATGCCGAAGTCTGTGCGCCTTCAAAAGGTCCATATGTAGATATAAGTGACTTGATTTCACTGTAAAACTGCAAGGAAAACAACATTATATGATGATCCTTCATTATAGAAACAATGTTTTGTTAACATTATCAACTGCTCATGTTATGCAAATCTCTAACAAAAAATATCTGAGTTGTAACCTCGTATTACTGTTTTTCATCAGCAGATTTTTCGCTATTTATTCCTTTGTAAAAAATTTGATGACCTGCCGTGATATAACTACCTCCGACTGTCATACATATATATGTAATAATGTATTCTTTAAAACTTTGATAGTTTAATGCATGAAAACTAACCCTAGAGACCCTAGAGACCAGGCCTAGAGATCATGATTTGAACAAATTTTAAATAATCTACACTGCCCGAGGATGCCTTCATATAATTCCATATTAATACGGAGAGTTTAAATTAATTCAAATTCAACTTAAGTTACTGCGAATTAAATTGGAATCGCGTTCACATGAAAAATTATGTCCTTATGATATCTAAGGGAAGACAATTTGAAATAAATTTGACGCACGCATAAAATTTAGCTACTTGCCACATGTCGGTCTAGCCCTTACCGTTCGATAGTTATGACGAATGTTAAAGTATTTTCATAAGTGCGGTTATCTCCAATGTAAAGGTTAAATGTATTGGTATTCAATGAGAGGTCTTGCAACAAAGAATACAACTTTAAAGTATGAATGTCATGATGTCTATCGTTCAAAAGTTATTGCCAAAGTAAAGTTTGAAATTTTGGTGCAAAAATGGGTTAAACTCCAAGGTCAGGAGATACCCAAAGAAAGGTCTTGCCACAAGGAGTTCACCGGCAATGGTGACGTCTCCATATCAGTGAAATATTCTGGAGAGGGACGTTTAACAGTATACAATCAATCAATCAATAACAATAATGTAATGAAAGAATAGCTCAGTTAAATACAAATCTAAATTTAAGATAAAAAATCGTTAATTCGCAACTTCCTCTAACTTTAGACACAAAAATATAACATGATTTCTCTCTATTACACAAATTCATAGTCGCCAGCGTGGCGCAGTGGATAGAGCGTCTGCTCTAGAGTCGCGAAGTAAGGAGACAATATACGTCGGGGGTTCGAATCCCACTGTGGGATGTGTAGACCGATACTTCTGATGACACTGTATAAACTGAGGTCCCGTGTCACAGTAGGTACTAGCACAAAAAGATCCCTCATTGGTCACTGGTCCTAAGTGCAGAGTATATGACGGAATTGTAGCTCTCCATCATGCCAGCAATTGGTGGCGTCTCCACATAAGAGAAAAATTCTTGAGTGGGACGTTAAAAAACATGCAATCAATCAATACACAGATTCACGTTTCTTAGAGAATAACTTCAATACTAAGAAACATTATCAATATTATTTTTATGAAAAATTTGAAGCTTTGAAATTGTTTAGATTTGGTTCAGAAACATTTCTTTTTAAGAAAAAAATATGAACCACTGCAAAAAAAGAAGTTCTGCTTTTACTGATATTTGATTTTCGTCCTAGTGCTATACGGTATTCTGACGAACTTAAAAAAAAAACCATTGAAAAACCAATGATTTTTTTTACAAACGATATTTTTATCACCTTTTTATGACCCTGTAAACGAAGTTTCGGAAATTTATAGTTTTTGCTCTGTCTGTCTGTCTGTCTGTTTGTCCGCAAAAAACTTTAACGTTGCCCATAAATTTTGACCGGGTGGGACTATGACGTTCACATGTCACATTTGCATTTTTTGTGACGAGACTTTTCTTTGGGTACCACTAAATTTGACCTTGAAGTTTGACACACTTGCACACTAAAATTCGAAACTTTTACCCTGATCATGACTTTTTAACGGTTGGTGCTAGGACTAACATACTTGATTTATGTATTCTTTGTTACAAGGCATTTCTTTAGAACCAACAACCTTGACCATTTTACCTTGCAATGTGACCTATTTGTTAAGAATTTTAGCTTAAATATTTTTAAATAGTTTGGAGTAGGGCTTTCATATTTCCCATATGTAATTTTTGCTACAAGACATTTCTTAAGAAACCAACAATCTTGACCCTTTGACCATGGCCCTGGAGTTAACCTACATTCAAAAATGTTAACCTTGTCCATAACTTTTGAACAGGTGGTGCTAGGGTTTTAATTATAAGTGAGAACGCTTTATTTTGGGTATTAACAAATTGTTTTTGAATTGCATTTGAGAAAAATTAACCTTTGCTTTGTTGCCATACGGAAACATGAGTGTTTCACAAACATATCTTGTTTTTTCAATTGTACCTGCGAATTCCATTGTGGTGGATCCCTCCATGGTCTATCAAGGGTCCCTGTTTAAAAAATGTTCACAGAATAAGATAAAAAAGATATATCCTGTGTCCATTTCTAAATATTAACCAATATCGTAGATAGATTTAACATAATTTTCTTTTTCGGATTTTTAGCATAATTAATTGATTTTCATATGAAACATGAAGATACGAACCACAATAAATAAAAAATCTTATTAATCAATATCCATTGATATTATGTATAAAATAATTTAAGTTTCACAATCTCTGTCAGAATTTCAATTAAAGGAACCTAATTTTTTTTTTACCTTTGACAAGATAAACTTCAAGGTCCACGACATTGTTATGATTATTTGCGATTGTCTGCGCATTCTTTCCTTCCATATCATAACGATCACCGCGAAAGAAATCGCTACCATCTAATACGTAGAACCCCGATGTTTTTTCAACACTCTGATGAAAAGAATGCAAATCATAAAACCATGGACCATGGTCAATGCTCCCCCAAAAATTATTTCCTTGGTCCACGATTGAGGGAAATTTTTTAGCTTTCCATTTGCCTCTTTGATATAACTGAAACAAAAAGGAATTTTCGTCTTTACTCCAGGTTTTACTTTAGTGCCAACTTTCAAACAGATATCCCCCGTAAACATTGTTGTCTGTGTTGTAGAAGACGGTCACTGTGGGTCCCTTATTATCACACAGTTTATGGAACTTTTGTCCCGATGCGCCATCCCTCGTTATTTTATATAGAAGCTGGAAGTAACATTCTGCACCAATCCACTCTGTGAGCTGATCACGATCCTTGTGCTTAAGTAAGTTAATCATGGATAATTCTAAAACAAGAGAGTAGGTATGAAAAATAGTCAGTTCATGAATTTGAAGGCGTTGGAATGGCCCGGCTATTCTCAAAGAGATAAATGCACTGATGAAGGTTATGGTATAAACGATGACATTTCAATGAAAAACAAATACTGACAAATCACAATCAGTGAAGGTTTACAGGTGAAAACAAATTTCAAAATATGTTAGCTTGGTGCTAAAAATGTATTATAAACATTAGAATTTTATCAGGAAAAGCAAAATGGTATAAATCACCCTATATCATATAGGCTGCTTTTTACCATTTTGCCTTTCCTCATAAAATTCACTTGGCTTTGTATATTTTTCTAAAGTTTATATTACACATTTATCACCAAGATGACATATTCTGAAATTTATTTTCATCTGTAAAACTTTACTGATCGAGTGTGTTTTATCCATTTTTATAATTATATTGAAAGATTACTGATATTTTCCAAGTCTATTTCATTTTCCACCCAGATAGCATGATTATGTTGGGCCAACGTGTGTTAAAGGTTGTATGGTTGGCGTTGGAGGAACAACGTTGGGCCAAAGTTGGACCAATGTTACCAAGTCAACCTTCTCGATCATGACAGAATTCCTATGTTGGCCCAACGTTAGTCCAACGTAAGCAACTTCCATTCACTTTAGTTTCCAAGGAAGGAAGGATCCTGGTGTTGGTCAACGTTGGACCAATGTTTATAATACACCCTTAAAGAAAAGTGTATTTACAAGTTGGTAGTAGTATGTTGGCCCAACGTTGGCCCATTGTTTGTTATACACCCTTAAAGAATGTGTTTTATAAAGTTAGTAGTAATATGTTGGCCCAACGTTGGCCTATTGTTTGTAATTCACCCTTAAAGAACGTGTCCTATCAAGTTGGTAGTAATATGTTGGCCCAACGTTGGCACATTGTTTGTAATACACCCTTAAAGAACGTGTCCTATAAAGTTGGTAGTATTATGTTGGCCCAACGTTGGCCCATTGTTTGTAATACACCCTCAAAGAATGTGTCTTATCAAGTTGGTAGTAATATGTTGACCCAACGTTGGACCAATGTTTATAATACACCCTTAAAGAAAAATGTATATACAAGTTGGTAGTAGTATGTTGGGGCATCGTTGGCCCGATGTGTGTAATACACCCTTAAAGAAAATGTCTTATCAAGTTGGTAGTAATATGTTGGCCCAGTGGTGGCCCATTGTTAGTAATACGCCCTTAAAGAACGTGTCCTATCAAGTTGGTAGTAATATGTTGACCCAACATTGGCCCATTGTTTGTAATACACCATTTATGAAATCAATGTGTCCCATCAAGTTGGTAGTAGTATGTTGGCCAAACGTTAGCCCATTGTTTGTAATACACCCTAAAAGAATGTGTCTTATCAAGTTGGTAGTAAAATGTTGGCCCAACGTTCGCCCATTGTTTGTAATTCACCCTTAAAGAATATGTTTTATAAAGTTGGTAGAAATATGTTGGCCCATTGTTTGTAATACACCCTTAAATAATGTGTCTTATCAAGTTGGTAGTAATATGTTGGCCCAACGTTGGACCAATGTTAGTAATACACCCTTAAAGAATGTGTCTTATCAAGTTGGTAGTATTATGTTGGCCCAGTGTTAGCACAATATTTGTAATACACCCTTAAAGAAAGTGTCTTATCAAGTTGGTAGTATTATGTTGGCCCAATGTTGGCACAATATTTGTAATACGCCCTTAAAGAAAGTGTCTTATCAAGTTGGTAGTATTATGTTTGCCCAATGTTGGCACAATATTTGTAATACACCCTTAAAGAAAGTGTCATATCAAGTTGGTAGTATTATGTTGACCCAATGTTGGCACAATATTTGTAATACACAAGAGTGTTATTTTGTTTAGGTGTTTTAAAGATGAGATATTTATATTGGGCCAACGTTGGTCCAATTATTATACTGCCAGCTAATTGATGGTGTTAATTTTATAATTAGCTGTTGAGCTTTACGTTGGGACAAAGTTGGCACATTCTGAAATAATTAAGAAGACTTTCTTTGTCCATGCTTATCATTGGATGCCTGCTTTTGTTTAGATATATTTTCAAAATTTTAAGTTATATATTTGCACTTAAGTGATCACAGCACCAAAGAGTGTTTTAGTCTATTTTTTGAAATTGTGTTTATGCTTATTTATTTGTAATAATTCCCAGATAGCAGAACATCGTTCTCCCAATCTTACATTATGTTTCTATTCTGTTGAGTTACCTTGATTGGGCCAACGATGGCCCAACATGGAATATTAATAGCTGGTTATGTATAATGGTGCGCTAATGTTGGGCTAACTGTTGACATGATATCATAAAACTATTATCATGAAAATGTTTGTTTGGGGATTGGCATCGGCCTTACGTTGGCCCAATATACCATGAATCTGACTGAGCATCATGGGTAGACAACAACCGGGCTACTTGTAATATCCGCGCCATTTTTTATCTGACACGAGCGAGCGTAATGAGACTGATACCTTGCATATATCTGCAGCCACTTTGTAAGTATTTATAATATGTTTGTCTCGGCACAACTGAATTAACGGTTAGTTTTTAAACGATATCATGTACAAACGGGGAAGTGCAGAGGCCAGGTGCTGTTGGGTCAACACTGTACCCCAGATAGCATGCTATCATTGGGCCAACGTTGGGCCAACGTAATTGGTTACTTCGGGCCAATGTTGGCAAATGACATTGACCCAATTTAAGTTTGCTCATCGGCCCAATGTTAGCCCGATATGTTGGGCCAACGTTGGTCCAATGTAGAGTTTTTTTCTACAGATATTGGCCCAAAGTTGCAACAACATAGGCCCAATGAATGCGACATTGTTGGCGAAACGTCAACAAGAACTTTGGGCCGATGTTGGCAAATGACGTTGGTCCAGTGTCATTTTGTTCCTTGGCCCAATGTTGGCCCAATATATTGGACCAACACTGGGCCAATGTGTATAAACATTTAATTGTTACAAATCTGTATATTAACAAATCTGATCGTCTCTACAATCAAAAATAAATCTACAACCAATCCTACTTGAAAATGCAAGCTAGCTAAAATAAATTTAAAATTCTTGTAATTTATCAAAACAAAATAAATTATCAGTGACTAAATGTTTTTGTTTCTATACAAGAAAAATAAATGAAAGTATAAAATAACAAATGTGTTTTGATACAGTTAAAACAATAAATAATTTGCCCCTTATTAAGATTGAAATTTGTGTCTAGTAGAATGCATTTCAGAAGTCTACCACTTAATTTACTTATATACACTTAACGTCAAGTACATGATCAAACATTTTGAAAATGTTGAACTTGTTGAATTTAAAACAAAATTAATTCAGTACTAAACATAAATTGGGTTCTTTCATTTAAAATTTGTTCAGTGTAACGACAAATTTTCAATACATGTATATTATATGGGGCAACATTGAATCAAAATCGTTGTGATGATGATGAAGCGTAGAAATGTTATGCATAAATGCCTTCATCACGCAAGCTTATCACTTAATCACACCATGAAATAAAAAAGACGGTTATTCCTTAATTGACAGCTTAAACATATAGTGATATACTTATAAATTTAATCGTATGTTTACTTTTTACTGAAAAAGTAACAAATGTATTAAGTACCAAATACTACAATTTTAGTGCTACTGGAGATTCTTAAAAGACATTGAGAACACAATCAAAGAATAGCTAAGGTATGCCATGGACAGGGATATGGGGGAGGGAGAAACAGACAGAGAAGAAAAGAAGAGAGAGGAGGAGACTTGGGAGAGAGAGAGAGGAGACTTAGTAGAGGGATCAGATGGAAAGTGGCAGTGCCTAACTTTTTTCTGTAATATAGTGTGACATACCTGTAGTTCTACCCTTTTCTGTGTCTTTTTGTCGGTTACAAACACGATTCAGATGCCAGAAACATTTTTGTGTAAGTAATCAAAATGACGGGACTCATTTTAGTATTATTTTAAGAACAGGAGGGTTTGGATTATTTGTTAGACGTGCTTACTGATACCTGTAATTTACTTAACTTGTGCATAAATTTACAGCAGAGAGGGAGTATACAGTCATGTAACCCTACATGTACATGTATCACATGAAGTGAGCAGCAACTTTTAGTTCTTTATTAATGTTTTTTTTTCATGCACTGTGCAATAAAATTATAGTATGTTATAATTTAATTTTATATTTTGATTTCTTTTTCCTCAGTTTTTTAATTAATGTAGAGCTACTTACAATGCAATGCTTGTTGATGGCAATTCTATGAGATATTGAAAATATGTATTAAACTATTAATCTAGCATATATAGCGTATATAGATAGTACTTAACGACTTTTACCATTAAACTGTACTACAAAACTAGTACAACCTTATTGTATATATTTGTTTGTCAATTTTGAGGACAAATGGCCAGCAATGAAGAGCAAATGAGTTGTCATGATGGAGAGCCAATAAGATACAAACCAACGTTGGCCCAAAATTGATGTTTTCCTGATATTGAAAGAATAAGTGGCCCAACAATAATATCCTTTCGTTGGTACAACAATAAGCAAACAAGTTGGTCTGATTAAGGGCCGATGAGCAAATTACCGTTGGCCCAACATTAATTGCTAACAATGGCCCAACTGTACAAAAATGACGTTTGTCTAACATTGAAAAAAATACATTGGCCCAACAGTGGCCTAATATTAACTGTTACATTGGCCCAACAAAAAGCCAACAAGTTGGTTTGATTAAGGGCCGATGAGCAAATTACCATTGGCCCAACATTAATTGCTTACAATGGCCAACTGTACAAAAATGACCTTTGCCCAACATTGAAAAAAATACATTAGCCCAACAGTGGCCCAATATTAACTGTTACATTGGCCCAACAATAAGCCAACAAGTTGGTTTGATTAAGGGCCGATGAGCAAATTACCGTTGGCCCAACATTAATTGCTTACAATGGCCCAATTGTACAAAAATGACGTTTGCCCAATATTGAAATAATACATCGGCCCAACAGTGGCCCAATATTAACTGTTACATTGGCCCAATAATGAGCCAACAAGTTAGTTTGATTAAGGGCCGATGACCAAATTACCGATGGCCCAATGTTGAATGCAAACGGTGGCCCAACATAAGGAGCATTGTTGGCCCAACAAAGGTCCAATAACATCTTGCTATCTGGGCAATTCCTAGGAGAAAAAAATTTAAGAATTATCCACTTTTCTTAACTTGTGACATGATAATAAATCTCCTCCAAAGATAAAATTTGTTTGTATCATCTGTCCTTAATTCATGAATTGTACGTCAAAATCAGATGAATCTATACAAGGCTACTAAATGTTTGTTAAAGATAAGTTTAATTGTTAAATAAAAGACTGGGAAATAAATTCAGAAAATAACATGAAATCGCTTCAAAAGTTTACAAGGCGTTTTATTCCGTTTTAGTATATTCTTAAGCTTATCAGTGAAACATTATTAAACGTACAATCTAAACACTATTTGCGTTGAGAAATGAGGATAGGGATGATAAATAAAACCAAGAACAATGAAGAGGTAGATGAATTAGTTTATAAACATCCAACACCTGAAAGATTGAATTTAAAAATATATTGAAACCTCTTATTAGAAAAAGAAACAAGTAATGAACACAAAAGAATTAGATAAGAAATGTTTTATGAAGCAAATTGAGCAAATATATGTACATTAATTTATAGGACTTATATTTTACGTAAGCTTGTTCCTACCTTTTGTGTAGATAAAATCAATGTAAATTAAATCAAAAAGAAAACACATTTACTTTCATTTTAAGTAACTGGAAATGCAGCGTCGAAAAAAATCAATAAACTAAATTTTTAAATACCATAATCGCTATGTATTCATATTCGGCAGCAACAATATGTGACCTGAATTACTAAGTACATGTTTATGCTGACACTTTGCCATAATATACTGATATTTTAACATAATGTAAACGATCTAAAAGATTACATGTACGATCGACAGAGCAGTCGTATTTCTTTACATGCAGACAGTTTGAACTTCTTTTGCAGAGAAACGCTACCGAATTGATTTATTTGATGACGGCAATATTGTGCAAGCACATATATCCATGTGACATTTGCTTCCGTAAAATAATTGCCTTGTCAATTTTACCTTTAACAGGTAGAATTATTAATAAAAGTAAAGTGTTATCAAAATTTCGACTGATTTTTTTTTTTGGGGGGGGGGGGTATATTTATTTGTTGAGAAAATTCTATGCCATTATCAAATATTTGATTTTATACAGTCTTCTTTGCTCTTTTTTCGAACTAGGATGTATTTTGAGTTGTACATGTTAGATTCGAAAGGTGTTTTTTCTTTTCGGTCGATGCATTATCCAGAAACTCATCAATGATCTCGGTCTGTTCGTATACCTCTGTATAATTCTTAACATTGTACATATTTTCAATATGTTCGCTTCTTGTCCACCGAAATATGCCTATACTCCCATTAGTAGAATCTCTAGGTATGTGTCACTAATTTTATCCCATATACATTGATAATGTTTATATATACGTGTAATTCTTCACATCTAATCATCTTCAAACATATTGCAACGAGTATGTGGTCATAATTATGAATTTATCGATTATTGGAATGTATTGGTCGAACGAGTGTTTACTTGGTGTTTATCTAGACTGTCAATTTGATTGGCTACTTTTTTGTAGAACACCTGTTCTACATGTACTCCAGTGGTGAACTATTTGCCAGTTTTGTTACTTCTCAAGAAATGGGCATGTCATTATATGACTATCAACGTTCTAAATTTAAAGATCAAAATGTTCCACTCAAAAGAAATACCGGTAAATACCACTTCAATGCGCTTTACTGAATTTAGGTTTCGGACAGATGGCACTTTGTCCATTATTTCGGAAAAAAGAAGCTTAAGTTTATATTTCCACGAAAGTACAAGTTTAAATAAAATAGCGCTATAAAGTACATTCATCTTATTTAGGATGTTTTTACGGAAGTTTTTATATAATACTCAATTATTTACATGTAATAGAATTTAAAGAGGACTGTTTTTATACTATGTTTACAGATTGTTTACAGTATTTTTAATAGAATTAAAGAGGACTGTTTTTATACTATGTTTACAGATTGTTTACAGTATTTTTAATAGAATTTAAAGAGGACTGTTTTTATACTATGTTTACAGATTGTTTACAGTATTTTTAATAGAATTTAAAGAGGACTGTTTTTATACTATGTTTACAGATTGTTTACAGTATTTTTAATAGAATTTAAAGAGGACTGTTTTTATACTATGTTTACAGATTGTTTACAGTATTTTTAATAGAATTTAAAGAGGACTGTTTTTATACTATGTTTACAGATTGTTTACAGTATTTTTAATAGAATTTAAAGAGGACTGTTTTTATACTTTGTTTACAGATTGTTTACAGCATTTTTAAGGTCGATCACTGTACGTTATCTTCCATATTTTCATTAGCATATTTAAGTTATGTTTTTATCAGAGAGTTGTTTCTTTCTATCTCCTGGTCTTTGTCAAGAAAATGAGAAACACACCGTCATATAACTTTTATTTTTCAAGTATGTAGAGGTTCCCCCCTTTTGCAATAAATTTTGTTTGGTTAATTAGAGATACTAAGTATCGGATTTTAAAAACAGAAATATGATACGTAAGAGAAATATGTTTTAGCATTTACGATAAATTCGTTTGGGCTATCCATAATTGTTCTTGTTTCCATGCAGATTATCATCTGTCATTGAAGTGTGTTTCATTCTATCTCTACCGTCCTCTACATCTTAATTGTCGACAGTCATTACCAGCAAGTCTTGATCCCAGTGATTGTCATCCATTTCCTCATATAGAACTGCTTTCTACGTTCGTTTGGCCCTTCATCAAGCTTTCATTGTTATATCCAGTTTTCAATTGAGATTCATATAAAATGTGTTCGTACTTTTCTTATGAATTTGGCTGTGTTCGTGTCAACGGACAAATTTGTCAATTTTCGTGTCAACAGACAAAGAACTATATGCGGTATTAACCAACATTTGCCCCCCAAAATCAAACTTTGATGGAGTAATATTTAATTAAGTCCTTAAACAGGGGAGTATATGCTGACTTCAAAGCACTGAATAATTTCATAAGTAATGACGTCATATGTACGTAATGACGTCACTAATATGACGTAAATTTCAGTTTTTTATGAATTTTGCAGAAAAATGTACATATTTCGTCGATATTTTAAATAAAAGTCATCGAGCGCATGTGTGTTCAGGATAAATATTTTGATATAATGTGTAGAATGATAATATCAATGAAATATGTCAATATTGTTCCTGAACACACATGCGCTCTATAAATTTTAAAGCTTGAATTGTTGAAATTTTGTCCATTTTGTCCTCTTTCTGAAAAAGGATATAAAATCGGACTAGTTTGTGACGTCATAAAAACAGAAATTGTGAATACACTGCTCTGGAACTATAATATTTTCTGTTAACTTATATTTCTCATACAATTTATTGAATTCAGCACATTTAGGGAAGTTTTCAAAATTTGACTTTTGTGGGGGCAAACATATGCAATATACCGCATATAGTTCTTTGTCAATTTGTCAATTTGTCAGTGAAGTATTCAGTTTAGATTTCTTACATCTTATCAATTCTAGCTGTTTTCCGATTGAACATGCTCCGAAAAAGAAGAATCGTTTACAAGGGTTGTCCGGTAAAATCGTGGACAAGTTGTCTAGCGTGAAAAATAATCACTGCGTTCTGAAATTTTTACTACTCTTTAGTAAATATATTATGAATATACATAGCAAATTTCAAATAGATATATGCATAAGTAAACAAATTGTGAGGTTTTATGTTATGTACTGTATGGCCCTACGGCGCACGGATGATAACGTCAAAATGTCTAAAACAGCGTCACGTTTCATTTTTGCTAAAAATAAAGTTGGATAAGTTCCATTTAAAAAAAGAATTATCATTGATTCACGAGTCTCCATAAACAGTTGAGGGATCAATCTGGCACAAACATGCGATCTTCTGAAGATTTATTAGTAAGTTGCGGAAAGTATTCACACCATTATTTAACTAATAGAGAAAATTATATCGACGGTCGACAGTGACAGTATATTTTGCTTTCACAATAGCTGTTTGTCGGTATGTTTTTACTACCAGGGGACTAGATCAAAAGAACTTCGTCAAGAAAACTCCCATTTCATTCGTATTCTAAAGATATGGTGATATTTTAAAAGATTTTTTTCTTCTGTATTCATTTAAAGTCTCTTAAGGTGTCATTACAACATCTAAATCGAACTGAAATGATCTCCGGTGCGCCGTAACGTCATCAAACGTCGCCATTTTTCGTGTATTGAGTTTACCACTTTCCCATTTCGAATGCTCGGGAAACTGCCAAAAATTAACTAAATGCCTTAAAATTCTTTTAAAGTACCAAAAAATTAATTGTGGAATCGAATAAGGATAATTTTCACCCCAATTCAATGCATTTAAAACTTTTATTCCGAATTAATACTTTGCATTCTTGTTTTTTTTTATTATGCGCCGTAGTACCGTACCCTGTACACATTCAAGCATTATAAAATCTTTGTTTTTGTCTATATATTATTTAAAACCTTATGATGCACTTAAATATGAGAAACAAACATTTGCTGAAAATTTCAGCTTAGTGCGCCCATATTATTTTTGAAGAAAAACGCTTTGTCCACGATTTTAACGGACAACCCTCGTATATTTATACCCGCACTTTCTAAAGAAAGTTCGGGTATATTGTTGTTACTCATGTCCGTCCGTCCGTCTGTCACACTTTTCATCCCTGAACTCCTTCTACATTTTACACAGTAGCTTAATCATCTTTTGGGAGATGGTTGGTGGGGTCATGTAGATGTGCAGTAAGGTTTCGGAATTTTGATTTTGCCCCGGGGGGTCAAATGGGGGTTGAAAAATGACGTTTTTTATGCAAAAAGTCCAGTCTTCTCTGAACTCCTTCTACATTTTACTCAGCAGCTTAATTACCTTTTGGGGGATGATTGTTGGTGTCATGTAGATGTGCAGTAACGTTTCGGAATTTTGATTTTGTCTCGGGGGGTTAAATGGGGGTCGAAAAATGACGTTTTTTATGCAGAAAGCCCCATCTTCCCTGAACTCCTCTTAAATTTTATTCAGCAGCCTAATCACCTTCTGGGAGATGGTTGGTGGTGTCATGTAGATGTGCAGTTTGGTTTTGGAATTCCGATTTTGCCCCGGGGGGTCAAATGGGGGTCGAAAAATGATGTTTTTTTATGCAAAAAGCCCCATCTTCCCTGAACTCCTTCTACATTTTATACAGTAGTCTAATCACCTTTTGGGAAATGGTTGTTGGTTTCATGTAGATGTGCAGTAAGGTTTTGGAATTTTGATTTTTTTCCCGGGGGGTCAAATCGGGGTCGAAAAGTGACGTTTTTTATGCAAAAAGCCCCATCTTCCCTGAACTCGTCTTACATTTTATTCAGCAGCCTAATCACCTTCTGGGAGATGGTTGGTGGTGTCATGTAGATGTGCAGTAAGGTTTCGAAATTTTGAATTTTCCCCGGGGGCTCAAATGGGGATGGAAAAATGACGTTTTTGTGCAAAAAGTCCTGTCTTTCCTGAAGTCCTCCTTAATGTTACTCAGAAGCCTAATCATCTTTTAGGAGAGTTAAATATTTTGAAAATTATGTAAAACATCAACGTCAAGGGGTAGAAAAGCAACGCATGCTGGGA